GTGTACCTTTAAATGACGTTAATAAACCAAAGATACTGTTCTCTTTATAGTGACACAAAGTAATCCAAAAGTTATGTAATTTAGTTACTTTCTTGGGGCATTAACTTGGTAATGTAACTTATAACTCTTTAGTTAGTAACTAGCTTAATGCAAACCTGGGAAACCTATTGAGTCAATGAAACACTTCGACACACTGACACAGTTGATACACAAAGCGAAGCAGTGGCTGCAGAGTTCAACACACTGACACGTTTAAGACTTTAGCGGTTGTTTTGATACAAGCTCCAACGCAGTGTATGCAACAACACACGCTCCGGTAGTGTCACAAAGTAACAGACCACAATGTTTTACTAGAAAACATGTTGTCCATCTGCGCCTGCGGACTGCCCTGGCCACCTCCATCTGCACTTGCAAACTGCCCTGCCCGACCCGCCTGGGAGCGCATCAGTTTTGCACCGTACCTGTCCACGCTCTGCGGCCGCTGCGTGGCATTGGCCCTCGTTCTGTCGGAGCGGATCCCTTTCTCAATATGTGGGTCTCCCCGAGGTTTCTCACTTATTTTCCCACTGGGTTTTTGTGAGTTTTTCCTTGCCGATGCAGGAGGGTCTGTTGGGAAGTTAGTGTCCAACTAGAAGGACTGTGGTAATGATCCAGGACACTTTAACAGTCTACAACATGTATGGACATTTATCAACATTCATGGACATTGGTCTCTCCCTATGGACCAATTCATATGTGTGTACTTTGTGTCTTAACAGTTGATTCTCTGATCTGTGTTGGTGATTTCAATGGTTTTGTTAAGTCCTCTGAGATGACTTATGTCGTGATTTAGGGCTATACAAGAATAAATTGTTGTTGTGGGCTGAGAGCTGAGTGAAGGTGGTCCTCTGTTTTTCACTTTTCTGATCAATCCGATCTAAAGATGTGACTGAGGACTTTAACATATTATGCTTTTGAAATCTGTCAATTGAACCGTCATGGAGCCAAAAACTAGTTCAATGGATTTTAATACAAAGTTAAATGTTTAGTGGTTAAAAAACGTTGTATTCCACCGTTAAAAGATGACACAAAATGCAAAATGATCACAGATTTTAACCACAGTAAAATATATTCCCTTGTCAGTTACACAATCGACATGTTTTTATAGTGATTCATGAATGTTTGAGTCATAACCGTTCTTACACCTGACAAACCACTGCTCTCCCCTCACTCTCACTCTCACCACCACACCAATGCTTTACCTACTTTGCTTGCTGATTTTTTCTTTTGAGAACCTGTGATAAGCAGAGGATTTGGCAACGTTGTGCATCTTGAATATCTAACCTTATAATGTGGTCCGAGCCGAGCCGAGTTAACTTTTTGTCATGATCCAGACGCAGAGCTACACAACGGGACTGAATACAGAAATTTCAAATGTACGAAATACACAACAATGAGCAAAGGATAATAAGTTCCATCATTTCTCATTCACAAACCCCAAACTAAATCCCAGTGTCTTGCCTAAGGACACATCGGCAGCAGGATCTGGTCAGAGCCGGATGACTTTAAACTACTATTGCCTTTAATGACAGTATTCTCACTATTGATATACACAGATGTCCCTCTTATAAAACCCTAAGTGTCTGTTTAAGACCGCTTTACTTCAATTAAAGAAATTAATGACCGGGTTAATTGCACTTGACACCTCGTAAAAGTTCTGTATACTTTTATAAGACACACTGAGCACTGCGACTTTGAAAGAATTACCACAACCAGTCCTACACATGTATTAAATGTTGGCCATAAAAAGTAGAGTGACACGGAATATAAAGTTGTCTTTCCTGCTTTGACAGATGGCAGTGTGACCTGAAATCAACCACTTTATACCAACATACATTGCAAAACATTACATTTACAACAATACAGACAATGCCAGTGGAAAGGTAGCTTGGATTTGTTTTGAAGAACAAGATTTTCTTTGAGCAAAAATGGCTGTCCAATGCTGGCAATTTTGTGTTTTTATGTATCTATTTTATCTATTCATTTCAAACCTATTCCCCAAACACACCAACACACTCACAGCAGCTCTCTCTCTCTGACCCCAAACCTTTCTTCCAACCACTTATGTCTTCATTGTCTACTACTTTTTCATCCGCCTATCACAGATTCAGACAAGAAAATCATCAAACAAGTGAATTGTCAATTTAGCCAAATGTTTTGTTAAGTCCCCTCCATTTAAGCATGTGCAGAAATCATGAAGGACTGTGAGGGTCATGCTCTGTGCAGCACTTTTTTTTTTGATAAAATGTGCTATATAAATAAAGTGGATTGGATTAAGACTAAAGCTAGAATAACCATGAATGAACCTCCTGTTTTATGATATTGAATTTATGTAATTAGGAACCAAAACAAAAACGCTATATATACAGTATAAATTGTCTTTATTATTATTATGTTTTTTTTCCTTATTTTCTTTTAAGATATGAGGAGGATCAGTGAGGGACTGGTGCTATGTGTACTGGGTGGCATCTCTGTCCATCCCCCCCCAACCCAGAAATTGATTAAGGGGTAGAAAATGGATGGATGGATGGATATGAGTCTATTTTAGTCTCTGTAAAATCCTTATAATTAATAACAATACCTATTCAGAATGTTCTTTTATTTTGTTGAAATGTTTAATTCTCTTTTAACACGCAGTTTAAAGTGGTTAATACTATAAATCGGAGTGGGAAATAAAGTATTACATATACCGTTTAGGACAGGTCTGTGTCCCGGCATTTTTCTATTACATAATTATTGCATACATACTTATTAGTAATTAGTGGTATCTGTTTATTTAATTAATTTTTTTAAATATATAATCAGACTTAAATTAGAAGAAAATTCAAGGCATATTATAATGTTTACGAGACACGAACAGGGCATTGTGATTTGGTATGTGCTGCCCTCTAGTGGTGAGTTGTAGTCCTCACAGCGCAGGCAGAGGCCAAGTGCGTCAAAGGATGAGGAGCGCTTCTGAGAATGGGCTTAACTTTGGCCTGCTTTACTGCAAAAGGTCCTGCCGTGGGTCAGAGGCAGACAGCGGGAGCAAACTTCCTCAGGCTCAATCCAAAACCGAAAGGAGTGTCTTTGGTCCACAGAAAGTCTTCTCAGTCGCTCAGAAATCTGTGGTATAAAAATGGACTTTAAATTTCAGTTTTGACAAGATTAATCACAGGTGTTTCAAAATGGTAACTATGATGGTGACAAATAGATCCTTGGTTACAGTTATTCTATAGCTTTGAAAATGACAAAATCCGGACACTTTTTAACTTTGTTCTATTTTTGATATCTATGATTTAACAGTTTTTCACTGCTTGCCTTTGATATGTTTGGGTTCAATATTATTGTTCCTCTTATTTCATCATAAATCACAAATCAAAATGTAATTGCAGTGTCTCACAATAGACTTGGAGTAAAAGTATACTTGAATGCATCTTAAATGTGTGTTCCCATTATAAAGACAATCCTTTGTTGCAAAAAATAATATCCATGTAGAAATGTAAAATATTGATGATGACCTGTTGGTAGAATTAATAAATAATCCAAAAATCAAAACAAAAAAACTTGTACTGACATTTTTATTAACGATTTGAATAAAAATAACAATATGAAGAAAACAAACAATACATTAAAATTACAATTTACAAATTGAAAATCATGCAGTTATGTAAGTTCATTGTAGATACAGTTCCTAATGGATCTGTGCAGGTTTTATGGTGGTGGGTCCAGAACCTTCTCCACAGAGGTACTACCCTTTTATTGCTTCTGGAACGTACAGCCAGGGATTGAACACAAACCATTCAACACATAAAGTGATGTGTTATGTGTGTGTGTGTGCGCGCGAGATTATTGCACTATCTAGACGTTTTTATTCACTGAGCCCTTTGACTTTTAGTCCTTTTGTTGCATTTCCTAAACTAGTAAATGTATCCATAAAAAACAGGTCTATTTGAGATATGTTTGTCTGAAAAATACCAACAGAAGGTGCTACATCTAGTGAGTAGGTAGGGGCGATAAAAACACGAGAAACAACTGAGGGAGACGTTATAAAGCACAGGTTCACAGCCTCCAGGCAGGGCTCAAATAGTTAGATTCCTGAATTAAATATGTGCATTTAAAAAAACAGACGATCCTGCCTTATGCTGTGTGTATTTTGCTTAACTGCTACCTCTACAACATGGCATATGCTGCTTCACTAGTGCAGGAGTTCAGATGTATTCTTTCAAATGATTAAAGGCCCGTGTCAAAAAGTGCAAATCCCAAAAAATGAACTAAAATAAAAACTACACCTTAGCTTATATCATGTAGCCCTATCTCCAGGTGTGTCTAAGATCAGGAAAAAGTGCCAAAATATGGCCAATTAAAACTTCATACCCTTTTAGTCTGTGTTTCTATAGGAAATTTGATTATGCTAAATAGTTTTAGCTACAGCCATGCTAACAAGAAGTGTGCTGACACAAGTCTTTGTCTCTTCTGTCCAAATCCTTGTTTGTCATTATCCTCAGAAAAAACATGAAGAACAGAAGCGTTTTCTGCTCTTTCAAACAACAGTTACAACTAAATTGTGTTTTTCTCCTGTCAAATGAGATCCTTTGCAACCTTGTACAATCAATTAGACTTTTGTGTCATGTTAGATTTAGATCTAAATCTAGTAGAACGTCCCACATATAACACTCGAGGTGCTACATGTTCTTGTCACATACTGTATATTTGAATATTTCCCACTTATATTCTCAATGTCAGGTTTGTAATTTAACGCTTTCATAAATCCCTTTGGGATGAAATCCATGGAGGAGTTTGTCTAAACAGTGTGAATGTGATAGCAGGAGCAGGGTTTGCCAGGGTTTGGTGAGCGCCCCCTGCAGTGCATATACAGGTAGTGCAGGAGCTTTGCATCATTGGCCTCCAGGAAACATCACTACACAGACATGTCACACAGGCTCAGGTGTACACGCAGAGGAGGCGGTCGCCGTGGTGACTCAGCTTCGTAGACAGGGCGGGGCCGACTCTGGAGGGGTGGGCGAAGCCGGGGGGGTGAGGCGGGACAGCGACATCTGACTCTGGGACGGTCCGATGGAAGATTTCCGGGAGCTGCAGCTGCAAAAAAAGAACATTGAGGATAGTTGTTAATTTTAAATGGTTTTACAGATGTAGTATTTCTCATATTTACTAATCATCACTTTGGATGATGTGGGACCAGTGGGGGCGGGTCCCGGCTCAAAAGTGGCCAAAATGATGTGCGCTGACATGCTTGCAATACAACCCTGGGCCGATGGGGGTGGACCCAGAATAAGAATTAGCCAATGTTAACAAATAGCATTAGCTGACCTCTCGAAAACACCTTTACAGTATGGTCCAAAAGTTGGCTCTTGGCCCAAAGCTCCGTTCCACATGTGTGTCAATGCTGAGGGGGGTGGATTTTTTTGGACCAGTCTAGTTTACTCGCTGTGAATTTTTGAAGTAACTTGTTTAAATGAATGGGGCTTGTGCAGCTGAAGCATGCACAGATGCGTTTTTTCACATTTTACATTTCACATCCATGAAAGCCCAATTTTTGGCCCATTAGTTAGAACGCCGGAGATAGGCGTGACTACGTCTGTTAATTTATACAGTCTATGTGTGGGACATGCACCTATTTGCTTCATTCTTTTTGTCATGGATTATTTTCTCTTTCCACCAATAACTGTTTTCAGTTGTTGGCTGTATCTGCTGCGGATGGTGTTTTTGACCAAATATGAAAATGTCAACCCAGGACAGCAGTGCGAAAAGTTGCCGTGTTGTTTAGACCCTGGTCAGCTTTTCACAAGCGGGATCTCAAGACAAAGAAAGTCTTTTTGAGCATCATGTTCTGAATATTTCTACATGTATTTTTTTATTTATATATTTATTGACACTTTTTGATGTGAATGTCTTGTATTTTAACAGATGCTCAAATAAATAAATAAATACATTTTCAAACATAGTATTTACATTGACAACTTTTAATGCCTTCTAAACTACATACACATTTGGTTGGAGAATTCACACTGAACATACACTGGCAGAAGAACTGAGCGCTGATTGGCTCAGGGAGGGTGGTCCTCACTTTTTCACTCTTCTGTCTGATAAAGCTGATTTTAAAATGTGACAGAGGCCAAAAATATACATGTGAAAAATAATTACTGTTGTGAGAGGGAGGAATGAGTTAGATTATTATTTTCTATTTGAAAAAAGGAGCGCGAACTTTTACAGTATTCTTGATTGTGTTCTCTACTTTTGACCCATCCTTTAATACCACTGGGGTCATTTGATAAGACATGTATTAATCTGCGTGAGCCAATGCGTCCTCTGAATGCGAGTGCTGCCCCTGGTGGTATGTGTCAGTACTGTCTGTGTAGGCCTGTGTACTGTATGTGTGCGTGTGTGTGTGGCTGGTGGAGTTGGGGAAGCCTTGGGGTCAGCTGTGTCCTGTCCTTACAGAACAGGAAGCAAAGGTCAGTAATATTGCCTCACACTATTTGCCAGAAGAGCGCCAGACGCACAATACGCAGGAAGTGATTGAAGGATTACTGCACAGGGAAATACATACCACTACTTTGGAAAACATAATCTGATTTATAGGGTTTGCGGTGTTGCTTACATAATGAGTGTGGATCTATGCCTGTGTGTGTGTCACAGCCGGATTTATCAACGTGTGGTCTGACTGCCTGGATATAAATAATAACAATCAACCTAATTGCACATTTATTTCAAAACAAATATGTTACGGACTAAAACTGCATTGAAAACAGTGCACATGGTGGTTCAGAGCCAATCAAAGCTATAAAAAACTATTGTTCAAAAGCTGTAACTGGCTTTTTTATATCATCAGATAAAAACGGTGCAGCTCTGACTGTCACCCCCCCGACCCAGAAGTGGATTAAGGGGAAGAAAATGGATGGATGGATAGATATAAACTGTCATAAACAATCAGAATTAATTTTCATAATTAATTTTCTCACTCATTCATTTCAGCCTATAGTTTATAGATATTCAAAATTGTGCATGGCAGATTGACATGGTTAGAAGTTAGAACGATTGCGCCACCTGCGTCTGATCTTCATAGTTCTAAGCAGGGTAGGGTTTGGTTAGTACTGTGATGTGACTGTGTGGAGTTGATGATTAAAAAGCGTTATTTAAAACCGATTTATGGAGTCATCTTAGGGATTCTCTTTCCATTTTCCAATACTAATTGCTTACAACATATCTGCACGAGGAGAAATAAGGTGGTACAGGATCTTTAAACGTGTTCACCAGGCCAGCAGAAGTGTAGTCCCTCCTGCATGTCCTGGTTTTCCCATCCTTTATGCATTTTCATCCACAGATTTTATTTACTAAGCCAGGGTTTCACTGTATAAAAAATAAAGCCAAATTAAATAGTCTCAGGTTTAAAAGCCATTGCATGATAGATTGTCTGGTATCATGCATAATATTAAGCTGAAGATCTGCCTAAATCAGTGTTTATAAAAAAAAAAAAAATGCACTCAGTATCAAATTTTTACAATGGTATCAGCTGAAATTGTAAAGATGAGGGCCAAAAAAACTAAAAGGGGAGATCTATGATTCATGTAGCTTCACAGCAGTGGTGAGATCCTTCGTACCCCTGGTCCATGTCGTCGGCGTCCCCGTCCACAGTGCTCTCAGAGAGTTGGCTGTCCTCTTCCTCTCCCTCCAGGCTATTCCTCCGCGGGGGCCATCGCAGCTCCCCACTCTCAGCCTCGCTCTGCTCTGTGGGCTCCACCACGATGGAGGGCAGGCGCTCCCTACGGTACAGGAAGTCCTCCGGGTATGAGTCTGAGTCGTCATCGTTGGCTTCTGGAAAGATCTGGAAAAGAGGTTGGAGATGATCAATGAGACAAAAGAGAACGTTACCCTCTCTTGGAAAAACGTCCTTCCCATCAATAGGCTGAGTTCAAGTTGTGCAACTCTCTTTCAGGTGGAGGGCCAATACAACTCATGCAAATGAAGCAATTTTTGAAGGAAAATATTCAAAATGTTTCCCCAGATCTTTATTCAATAATCATAGTATTCAATAATCATATTCTTTAGTCTGACAGTTCTTTCTGCTGGCCATCATGCATATGTTGTTTGAATATTGTCACCACAGCATCAGTACTGAGGGTGGTCTCAACACCCAGGGTCAGTGCACACCTGATAAGCTCTGCTCCCCCTCCTCTGGCTGGTCGTGTCCTCCGGCGGTGGCTCCCCTTGTCCAATGAGCGTCATACTGCAACACAGGACACACTTTTACCACACTGTGCACAAACACACATGATCAAAACAATCATAACTCTCAGCGGCTGTAGAGGAATACACAGAATGTTTTGCTAAAATGAATAATAAAATTCCAGTAACAGTAGAACAGTACGGTGAACTACTTTGCCCTTGTTGTTATTCTCTTAAGCTGCAGTTTTAAACAAAATGACCCAGAAGTCTGTTTCCAGGAATTAGGGCTTGTCTCTGAACATCTGGGCGTCTGCAACACTTCCTTCAGCCCGACACAATCCCTAATGCTGCTCATCATAATAATATTATACAAGGAAAAGCACAGGCCTGGCTGAGTCCAACTGTTAGAATGAAAACAGTGACATGGTGTTCTACTGAGGTGGCAAAAATCGTCTTGAGTACGGACATGAAAAACAACTCTGAAAGTACTTGAGTAAATGTAAACCAGTACTTTCAACCGGTGAAGAAGTAAAGAGCACACTTCTGCTTCTTAATAATAATAACATGGCAATCTGAGAACTGGTCTTGTAAAAATCTACGACTCATTTTGAAAGGGATGTTTTTAAAAGAGACGAAGGGATTCAAAGTCCAGTTTTTACTAATCTAATACCAATCCCGACACTTTGGCCTCCAGTATCAGCCGCGACCCATATATCCCACTCCCTGGAACTCACTCCCACAGCACATCAGGAACTCACCTCAGAACTACCAATCACTGCTTAAAAAGCCATCTAACCTCCCACATTTGACTTTTGTTTCTTTCTAACCTGTCCTTTTGTAAAGCGTCTGTGAAGGGAATACAATTATTATTTGTCTCTCCTTTTTACAAAGTGTGCCTTTAACGGTTGATTATCCTGCAAGTAATGACAATCCAAATTACAACTTTGACATTCTGGGTTGATATCAGCAGTAAATCTCCATCCATCCATCCATCCATCCATTTTCTTCCGCTTTATCCGTTGCCGGGTCGCGGGGGCAGCAGTCTAAGCAGAGACGCCCAGACTTCCCTATCCACACACACTTCCTCCAGCTCGTCCGGGGGGACTCCAAGGCGTTCCCAGGCCAGCTGAGAGACATAGTCCCTCCAGCGTGTCCTGGGTCTTCCCCGGGGCCTCCTCCCGGTGGGACGTGCCCGGAACACCTCCCCAGGGAGGCGTCCAGGAGGCATCCGGAACAGATGCCCGAGCCACCTCAACTGGTTCCTCTCGACGTGGAGAAGCAGCGGCTCTACTCCGAGCTCCTCCCGTGTGACTGAGCTCCTCACCCTATCTCTAAGGGAGCGCCCAGCCACTCTGCGGAGGAAGTTCATTTCAACCGCTTGTATCCACGATCTCGTTCTTTCGGTCATTACCCAAAGCTCATGACCATAGGTGAGGGAGGGAACGAAGATTGACCGGTAAATCGAGAGCTTTGCCTTTCGGCTCAGCTCCCTCTTTACCACAACGGTCCAATACAGAGACCGCATGACTGCGCACGCTGCACCGATCCGCCTGTCAATCTCACGCTCCATCCTTCCCTCACTCGTGAACAAGACCCCGAGATACTTGAACTCCTCCACTTGAGGAAGGACCTCTCCACCCACCTGTAGAGGGCAAGGCACCTTTTTCCGGTCGAGCACCATGGCCTCGGATTTGGAGGTGCTGATTCTCAGTAAATCTCATTCCATCTAAATAAAAACCAATTCAGGATATTGTCCGGACTGATGTTCTCAAACTGATACCAGATCCAACAACATTTCCAGTATACTCATTGACATTCATAAAGTGCATCTCTGGGCATTACACAACCCTCTGAAGGTACACAGGTTCTTATATTTGGAAATGTATTCATCAGAAAACCACTTGAAACAACACATACTTAAAGGGGACATAACATCCTGTATCAATCAATCCATTTTCATTCATAAAGCCCTTTACACCATTCAAGACGACCAAAGTGCTTTATAATGAAATCAATTTATGCTTTTAAACACTTAAACAGTTTATTTCTGTTATAGTTTACACACAGCTGTTTAGAATGCTCTTCATACATCTTTGAGTTCATTTATATTCTTTAACACTGGAACGCCACTGCTCTCCCTGGCTCCGAACCATTGCTATAGCAACGCGCTCATTTTTCATGTACACAAATGGTTAAATTATTTTCTTGTCTGAATCTGTGATACCTGGACGATTCAGCCGAGTTGCAAAGATGTTTTTGTAAAAGGAACAATCTAAAACAGGTTGAATACAGAGGTTTGCAGACTACATACTTTTACAACAATATTTAAGTTTAATTCACCCAGGTGCTTACTTACATTGAGAAAGAAGTATTGACAACATAAACACAAAATTAAATATTGCAAAATACACAATATTACAGACATCCTAACCAGACATCTATTGATTGATCTTCTTTCTTTTTTACAAAAAAACGTAAAATCATATTTGGTGGTAGTTTTATCATTATTGGATGAGTTGACCCCAAAAAATCAGTTCTCGATTTAGCACCAATTACTAAATGAGAATCTTGTACGAAATAACTTTGAATTTGGTACAAGTGTTTGGGATTTTAAATAGGTGAAACTTCAAATTCCTGCTCAAGACGCACCTTTTCTCTTTTTTACTTTTAATTCCAGGTAGTTTTTGGTTTTTATGTGTGTACATATTTCTGTATTTGTATGTGTTTTTATTGAGCTGTTTTTTTTTTCTGTCTGTTCAGCACTTTGGTTTCAAATGTACTCTACAGATAAAGATTTTGAAGATATACATTTTTTATCGTTTACAACATAAAAGAACTCCATGTATTTTCCAACGACCTGCTCACTTCTAGAGCACTAACCTACAGTGACCGGGATGCAGGTGCGCCCAGCTATTCCAAGCACATAAGCACCTGATAACTCTTTAAGAAGCCTGAAGAACAAGGTCCTGCAGAGGAAGGCACAAGGCACGAGATGGGACGGCCCAGTGGAAAGAGGCCAAGCAGATTAGCAGAGCCAGAGGGTTCAGCTCTAAACACTCTCTCAACAGACTCCAAATGCACTCAATCGTCTCTGAAAAGTTCTTAATTGAAAGCTATAAATAAAACGCACGCAGCCGTTCTGTGACTTCTCCAGAAAATACAGTTGATTGCGTGTCAGGGATTCAGTGTTTGTTGATGTTTTGGCCGCCGTCGACACGCTAGGTCTTGTTTTTCAGTCAAATATGAGCGCATCAATGTATTTATAGATTATGCGCGATTACTTTTACATTTCATTACGTCATTTTGTTATTTTCACTTGCTTTGACGAACCCATCATGGACCCATAGACTACTGCACTCTTATCAGGATTTCTGTAAACTTGACATTTGTTTTCTCATTTTGTTTGCTAATGTGGTGAGATGAACGAGAACTGACCTGATTAGCAAAAGTAATTTCCGTGTTCATATTTTGTATGTTTTTCTATAGCGTTAACTTCAAAGATACAATCAAAGGTGGGCTGTCCGCTATTTGCTTGGGTTCGTAGATAGTTGGAGGTAAACACAAAAAAATTAAAAATAACATTCAGATATCGAACCTTTTCCCCTTATAATTAACACTAGAACAAGTCTTGTAAAAATAAATGCTGTGAACAAATCAGGCCCCAACATGCTGTCTTTGTCTTGAGCCCTCAGTCTGTATTTGGACTGAGAGCTGATTGGCTGAGCAGCTGTTGTCCTCTCTTTTTCTCTTGTCTGTCTGAAAAAGCTGGGCTAAAGATGTGACAGAGACCAACACTACATCCATGTGAAAACCGGTTTAACTAAACTGTTTTGAGAGCGGGGAACTTCTGAGATAGAATGATATATGTAGTTGGTTTGAATTAGATTCCAAGACTATAGGGTCTAAAAGGGCCTAAATGATCCAGGGCTGGTCAAGTTAAATCATCAAAATTCAGCGTGAAAATAACTTTAAAAATATTTTTAGTAACTATGAATTTGACCCGAGGGTAGCACAGGGGTTAAATGGAGAAACACATTATAAAGTTAAAACCAGTCATATTTACAGACCTATTGCCAACCAATTGAGGATTCTAAAAAGGTAATCCAGCGTATGTTTTGTCAAAGAAAAAAATACATATTTACAAATGCAGCTGGATAACAAAGCCTGAGGTTTATATTATACATTTCCAGTTTTTTCCGCTTTATCTGTTTATCTGTGATCAGACAGATGCCCACACTTCCCTATCTACACACACTTCCGCCAGATCCCTGGGATCTCCAACCATCTAGCGAGGGCAAGGGACCTATTTCCAGTCCAGCACCATGGTCTCTAAGTGCTTATTCTCACACTCGGTTGCAAACCGTTGTAGTGCACGTTGAAGGTCCTGGTCTGTTGGAGCCAACAGGACAACATTGTCTGCAAATTATAGGGATGAAATCTTGTGGTCCCCAGATCATACATCTTCTGGCTTTGTCTAGAAATCCTGACCCAGGATCCTGTATTCCCCAGAGAGCCGGGCAGCCCAGACAGCAGCCTCAGGAGTCCCACAATCCATCTTGGATCAATAATGGAACTCTTACGGTATCCCTTACTACCGGAGTCCACCACCGGGTTCAAGGATTGCCACTGGGACAGGCCCCGGAGACTCTGTGACCACAGCTACGGCTGTGTGCATGGCCTGAGTTGAAGAGGTCCCTGCCTTCGACCACCACCCAGTCCCCCACACCTGTTCTATAATAATCTTGATATTCTAAATGTTTACAATGTAAACATGTTATGTTGTTTTGCACAATTTATGACCTATGATTGTCATACATCAGACATCTTTAATCAGTGATTTGCCTTATGCTCACTGAGGTAACTAAACTAAAAAGTTAGAATATCACCCAACAAAAACCTTCTCCTGTTTATCCACATCAGCTTCGTAGCAACATGTTGGATGATTACAACAAGGATTGTTTTGGAAACTGGGAGGCGCTCGATAAGGTTGTCCTGTGGCAGCGCTGCTAATCCCAATTACAATCTCAGGTTGGATAAAACTACTCTGAGGATTTGGAATGCTCTTGACCATAATAATCCCATCCTCGGCCACAAAAAATACATTTTAGTGGGAAATATATGATATGGAATAGTTACAGAATATGTAGAAACGGTAAGGCTATATGTAAACACAATATTAATAAGAAATGCATATAATATTATGAGTCCAACTTCATACATATAACTTGGCTTCCAGTTATACGTGTAAATGTTTACATTTTTTCCAGTGCATTTTTGTGTTTGTGTTTTGATACATGATAATCATGTAGATTTGTCAACATGATGTGCATGTTATTTTGTTCAGTAAAATTGTGTTATACAGGTTTTAAAATAAAGATCTTTGTTGATACAATAGTTTTTTATCATTTCAAATGAGAAGAAATGTATATTAACCAACATAAACTTGTAATAAAATATTCCATAGAATTTCAATTATTTTTCAACCCCAGGCACTTTCTTTCTGGAGAATACCATGAGAAGGGTCATCTTGTCCTCTTAATAGATTAAGAAGACAAGATGGAGGATAGTACATAGTCAAATAGATTTGTGTACGTAGTTTTGTCTTGTAAAGATTTTTATTGTATATTTTCTTGAGATAGAAGAGAGTGAGGTGAAGAAATTGTGTTCCCAACATATGGTTCAGCATTGTGTGAAAAATGCTGAACCATATAACTGCTGCTTCATGCCCCATGAGGTTAAAAGTTTAACAATTCACCCAGCGCTCTCATACTCTGTTAAACTCTGCCCTAATACTTAACCGCACAAAACCAAACATAACAAACACCACAAAATACACAAAATTAAAAATTAAAATATATTTACCTGTGCGATGCCGGAATACAGCTCATCTTTGCGGCAAATATCAGCAAATCCAACTGTCTCTGCTGTGACAATGCAACTTCTGCTACCGCCTGGCCCCCTCCCCTCTGCCCCTCTCCCTCGTTTTCCCACAGTGACGCACACACATGCACACACACACACGCACACACATGCACACACACACACACACATGCCAGTCCGATCTGCGAGCCACGAGCTGAACGGGCTTAACGTCACATTGAATTAACCATCCCAGTCTGACGTAACATGTGAGACAGAGAGGGAGAGATTGGCTCGCTGCAAAATGTTTCCTCTATTCTTCCAGGTGTCAAATCTGTGGTATTATTACTTTGATATTTTTGTACATGGTCACTTGTGTTTTTGTTTTTTTAGCTACAGAAAGTATAATGGAAAGAGACAAGACTGTTTCAGGTTGTCCTCATGGAAAGAGTAACCTTCCTTTTCCCCCATTATTAACTCATTGACTGTCATTGACGTATTTTGTCTGAGACCCTCTTTTCGACTGCGGATCACAGGAGAACAAAAATAGATAGAAACAAACTTATTTTTGCTGCTGAAAGTAGACAGTCCAGTCTTTCAGAATCTGGTTTCATATCTCACATAGTCATAGCACGTAATATTCTGTGGGTCTTGAAAATCAGTGAAATCATCAAAAACGGCTGGCAGTCAATGAGTTAAAACATGTTTGTCTGTCTTGTAATTAGTTTAATTGGTAAAGTAACTAACAATAAGCACTTTTTTACCCTTATCTCTGTCATGTTGGATTCACTCTTTTTTCCACTTTTTTTTGTCAGAGATTTTATGATGTAACAATGAATGAAACTGGTGAAAGGTTGGAAGATTCATACATCTACTTCCTTTCACTTGACAAAGAAAAATCTGTAATAAAACAAAAAGGACCAGTACAAAACATGGATGGAATTCTGTATATAATATATTTTGAAATGAGTATCAATTATATATTTTACACAAATAATTCTTAACTAACCAGCACCAGGAAGATTTATTTTGGAAATACATACCTACATTTACAATACATTTTGTCCAATCAAGAAGCTGGGAAGGAAAATATAGGGTAACTGATTTTCACTTTAAATGTTTTAGTTTTGTGTTTCACCAAAGAAGTTGTTATATTATTGTACATTAACATTTAATCACATCAAGACGTCCAGTTTGTTCTATTGACAGTGTTGCATGGTCATGGTATTGCTTTGATTGTAATGATCCACAGTGTAGCAGTATGCGTAGCCTGAGCTAATTGTATGCTAACGTATGCTAAAGTCCAATATATGTTTAATCCTTACTGTAGCATTCAATCATCTTAGACTATGTACATGCTGATAATACAAATAAAACTAGACATAATAAATCAAAACAAGTATCAAACACTGAGCATGTCCTTTGAAAAGAACATTTTTGGGAGTGCAACCTGAAAATGTATATATTTTTGCAGTGTTCAGCAGAGATTAAAAGGTGAGGCCCCACATCTCACCTTTTGAATATTGCCACCACATTTGGGCAGATTACTTGAGCACCTACAGACTTTCCCTTTAAATAAAAGAGTCTGCTGTTTGCCATTGGATGTTGCATTGGCCCGTGCCAGGCTGGATTACGAAACAGCAGCCGCAGCGCCAAAGCGGATTGGAGGAATGATGGACTCTAATCAACAAGATTTGACAGTAAACATGTCTTGCGATAATCTCACTGAGATTATTTTGTGTTTGGCTGGCGTGTAGATGCAGAATATGGAGTCATTTTTTATATATGTATAGATAGAGCCACAGTAGCCCTTGCCCTGTTCTGGTCAGAAGCATGTCTCAACACCACGGTTTGGACATTTAGGACTTTTAGTTTTTTTTAATCTATCCTTTATTCCTACGGTGCGGAATGAAGATTTTTTTTATTTTTCCGCACCTGTATCCCTGTTTAATTTCAAGTCCTTCCAGATAGAACAAAAGGGGACAAAGCTTTTTATATGTTTATTATCAAAGTGCATACAAACAGATAGATAGATAGATTCTTTATTGATCCCCGTAGGAGAAATTCAGGTGTCCAGTAGCGGCAAAAGTAAAAAATAAAATTGATCATTCTAAAAAGCTAAAAATAGTAATAATCAGCAACAGCCCTTCAGGTCACAGCAGCAGAGGTGGAGTAGCAGTAGTAGTAGAGACGTCATCATTGATATATAAACCCTCTCAGGGGCCAATTGAAGTTGAATGACAGGAAAAATCTGATATTTGGGGGAAATGATCACATGGCGTGGTAAGAAAATAAGTCTACAATCTCCAACTTTTGTTAGCATAATGAAGAATCAAGTTTAAAATACTGTATATTCTGGTGCAAGTAATTTATAGTTGCAAGTATACATATGTAAAAGTAAAGTAAATACTGTATATTCTTACTTGCTAATACTAATAAATAATTACAAACAAACAAGGATTTGCCTGATTAATTATAAATCTCGCTTCTAACCATGGCATTCCAAACCGCACCCTGATGTCAAACAAACTCAATGCTACGTGACATCACATGTTGGATGTTACGTATGTGGTAAACAAAAGAATCAGGTCATGTCATTGTGGAATACTATCTGGGTCGTATTTGGGGATGACAGCCTGAATTCAAAAGGTCTAAAATGTGTGTTTGCTTGATGGTTGCGTAAGGACGAGCACTGAGGTGAGGACCAGATGTGCACCATGAAAAGTCTGCTAAGTAATTAGGTCATCACGCATTTGGCATTTTTACTTTGGCACAAAAACACAAAGACGGAAGCGTTGGCCTGTCACATGCTTCGGACGGTGCAAACGCCAAGAGATAGTGTCACGAGCTCAATGACCGAATAAAGAAGAGCATTGAATAATCTGCAGTGAGGAAGTCGTCACAGTCTCATCACTTTCATTTGACTGTTTTCAGGCTTTAGTTATTCGTTAATCTCCTGGAAAATAAGTGTCTTGGAGCAGGGGATCAGTGGCACTATGCAGACAAAACACTTTGTCTGCATAGTGTTTTTTCCACAGGCTGGTTTGCTACACACTTAATGTTTTGGTTGGTTTTAAGGACTGAAGACTTTCTCAAAACCAAGAAAGAGATAAGGCTTACTTGCAGGTTAAAACACAAGTGAGGAGTGAATAATGCAGTCCAAGTGGATACTTTATTGAAACACAAACAAAGCCTACGCATTTTGGCACTCTTGATTTGTTGTGAAGTTGCTGTAAATCTCTCCATTGTGAGATTAATAAAGTTTCATTGTATAGTTTTTCTTTTTCAGGGTCTAATCCAACTGTGGCTTTAAACATGTTGTTATTACATAGAGGGAATCTTCTCCCCCACAGACTGCATCAGATCGTATTGAGAGTGGAGGACATGAGTTGGATCTCTGGTGGTCCGAGCCTGTCTCACTGCTGACTGCTCAAAAATAGTCCATGGAGTAATCAAAGGGGACTTGGAGCCACCCATGATCTAACCGGATAGTTTTTGCAATAGCTGAATCTCTGTTTCGGTTGCATGACTTCATAACTCATGAACTTGACCCCTGGAATCTTGTGTAGCTGATTTACAGAGAAATGAGGAATTATAGATGACTAAGCCTAAATGTTCAGTCATTCATGCAGGTACAAAACAATGGAGCAGTTTTTGAACGACAGTAGAAGAAAATACGAGCCTCTTGATCAGGAGTAGATCATACTGTAGACCTCACAAAAATCATAGATCCTTCTGCTTCACTCAAAAAAAATCATACACCTTAGTCATTATCTTCTAAATGTATCTGAACAAAATCTCATCAAAATGTATCTGATCTGAGTGACAAGCCTATCCTCAACAGCTTTTTAAAAACATGTGATGGATTACTCTATGTCTGTTCTGAGAACTCTGGGGGAAAGAGTGACTTTTAAATTCCTACATTTGATCCAATATGGACGACTCTCTGTTGGGTTTAGGGACGAGTGGTGTACCATGTTTGCACCAGTTCATGATGTTTTGATGTTTTGTTTAGGGTTTTGACGTGGAGCAGGTAGGTCTTCCTATAACATTTTGTCTCTTCACACAGATTTCACTCCTCGTAGTTCTTTTAGGCGATTCTAAACATTTATCAAACCGTGTTAGCCGTGATTTTATGTTTTTTTTTTTTCTCACCATTACGTAAGCACAAATCAAGGACATACAATATACTAACTGTTTGACTAATGAGGTTTCTGATCATACAGAGCTTATTAAACTTAAGAGGATTGTGTTTGCCCAGTGTCTGGTTACCACACATCAGCAGTGTTCTGCCGTGGCCTTCACGGAATCACTTTATTTTGGCACCGTGCTTTTCCTGTACACTTGCGGCATGAGCCCAGTGGACCACACACACCCAGCTTCAAGCATACACAATACAACTGTTATGGAAAGTCTTGGACTGCCAAAACAAAAAACACAATTAGATCTCTCTACTTGCAACTTTATGAACCGTCTCCCGACAATGTGTCCAGTAGTTTTTTGTGCACTCCTGCCTTTGGACAAACACCAACACGCACACTCACATTCACACCTGTGCGTCTGTGTGTGCACTTCCCTCCAGCACGGTGTGTAAACAAACGGCGAGTTCCTGTTTGTTCTACTGTGGGCAATCATCAGCATCAATCACTTCAAAAAATAATTTATTCTCACGTTTAAATGATGGAAATATTTTAGATGATACACTTATCTTTCTTCATACAGTCTGCAGCATCTCCCTTCTGAGTCCCTCCCCCGAGCCCCTCCCCTTGGGCCTCTGATGTGTCAATCAAACTTGTTATCGGCTCATGTTTAATCTCAGGTGGATCATGCAGGTGTTCTGTCAGTACCAAATATAGACACTGCTAATCCCCTAGCTCAATGAAACTCAATAGGGAAGTGTTCGTGGGCGAAGTTTTGCTCCAACTCGCTCTGGCTCTCATTGACTTACATTGAAAGTAAACTCCTCTATCTCAGTAACCGTTTGTGTCACACTCACTCAATTGTTGCCTCAAGAATTGTTGTTTAGCGCTCTCTGTGATCCTGGTGTTTATATTGCGATATTGTCTTTGTAAATCCAGATTTGAGTCATACAAGGACTCACAAGGATATGGAGGCGACAGTGGCTCAGTTGGTAGAGCATTGGCCTTCGAGCCTGAAGGTTGTGGGTTCAAACCTACCATAAGACCTACTTCGTGACTCCCACTGATTTCTACTGTTGGTGTGTCCTTGGGCAAGACACTTAACCCCACTTTGCCTGAAGCCCCTGCTGAAAGATCAAGGCTCCTGTGGACTGACCACCTGCCGGAGGATCAGTGAGGGGCTTGCTCATAATTCTGCCTACAAAGGTCACTTGAGAATCCACACTGGGGAAAAGCCGTACACATTCTGCAGTAAAACGTTTAGATGTTTGAAAGACGTCACAGTGCACCGTCAGCGCCACACCAGAGATGAATTTGTCTGTGAATAGTGCGGGAGGTCTTTAGGATCCATAAACGGTCATCGCCGACATATTAACAACTGCTCGTCTTAAAGGATTTCAGAGAACCTAGTAGTCCTCAACATTAGCAGTTCTGAACATTGTAAAGCGCTTTGGGTGACCTTGGTCTGTAAAATGCTCTATATAAATAAACCTTACTTACTTACTTACTAGGGCCTGGTATTCTGTGTACTGGGTGCAGCTCTGACTGCCATCCCCTCGACCCAGAAATGTATTAAAAGGACGAAAATGGAGGGATGGAGAGAGTCATATAAGGATTGACCAATCAGATACCTTCATTTGTGGGGAAATAGGCTCCAACTAGCTCCTGTTCCAATTGGCCTCTTCCACATTCAGAAAACACTATAATGACATCAGTGCTCTAATATACAGCCCGTGGTGAGTATGCAAGTGTGTGTGGAGTTGTACGAATCTTGTATAGTTTAATAAGTCCATTTTGACTTACTGTTACAAATGAGACCCAGTAATGAATGTTTGTCAATGGTTTGTCCAACTTCAATATTACTCTTTCTTTAGGTGGTATTCACTGGAATACATTGTAGTACATAATTGTTTTTAAATTACAGAGAGAGACCTATTCATTCCATAAACATAAACCTGTTTTTCACACTGAAATACATGAGACAAAATATTGTGTACTAAAAAAATCTTTATGTAAGCTTAGTGGGAAAGTGAAACATTATCCGGCATGGAGATGTTATTGTTTTGTCTGGAATGTTCAACAAAATAACAGGAAACTTGGAAGTGGTGGAGTCGCCTATTCTTTGACAATGGCATTAAATCAAATATCCATTTTATATCATGAATCACTATTAAAGCAACGGGGATGGACCTTATTGAACTTACGTCTATAGACTTTGCTATATCATGTTTTATTATGTGAAATCATCTCCAAAAATAATATATGGACTAACACATATGATGACTTATATGAGTAGCGGTGGCGGTAGTTACCATCTAGTGGCATAAGTGTAAAATCTTCCAACATAAAACATAGCAGGGAGTTACTGAAGAAAGTTTATTTCACTGAAGTAATCCACAATACTTTTCTTTTAAAAGGCAGATGACAGCTCTGACCGTTATGTCATAATGTCACAGTCAAAGTCCAAAATTAAAACATTTAGACTGGAATGGAAGGAGTGTGTGCTTGCCATACTTTATTTATAACAACAGTGAGCAGAAGAAGGCTGTTCACTCCTTCAAAAGTTCACGGGAGGAGAGAGAAAACTTTGGGGAGGAGTGAGGGGCAGAAACAGCAGCAGATACAGCAGACACAGCGGACCCTGCGCGAGCATAGAGCAAAGTAAACGCACCATCGGACTAGCAGAGAGGAGACACAGACGGCCACCGGCGGAAAACATGACATGGGGAAGAGCAGCGTGAGCGTGACGGGCCAGGGTCAAAACCAGCTCTGGGGAGGTTGACAAAACAAAAGATCTGTGTCCTTTTAGTTGTTCAGGTCTTTAGTTCCTGTTCTGCAGAGGAAGAGAAGCTGCTCAAACAAACAGGTAGCGTGTTTGCAGCATTTATAAAACAGAATTCATTTGGAAGTTTTACAGAAGAGAGTTCAATTCAGAAGAACCATTAAAACGAATATTAACGGACAAAGTGGGCAACCCTGACTTGGCCTTAGGAAGATTTCCCTGAACTTGGTGAAAATATTTGGAATAAAAGGAAAAAGGAAATGTTGAAGTTGTGAGAGAGGTTAAAAAGTTGCGAGGGGCGGGGTCATAACAGAGCCGCAAGCGAGAGCATGGCCCAGAGAAGGTGGATGGTGGAGGTGTGAAGGGGACCAGGGATGTCTAAAGGCCAAGGACAGCTGGAATCGGCGGAGGGGCCCCAAACCACAGGATCAGTGGGACTACAGACGCTGCTGGATCTGCTCGTAGGGGTCTATCAAGAGTTCTGCACGTCGCCTTTTGTGAGGGAGAAGTATGTGTCTGGATTTCTGCAATGGGGTGAGTGTCACTAATGTAGGTCAGACGCAAAACTTACGCTGTTTACGATCAAAATGGCAAGGTTGTTGATTTAATTGGTAAATCTTGGTAAAAGCGACAGTAGCTCAGTTGGTAGAGCATTGGCCTTCAGGCCTGAAGGTCGTGGGTTCAATTCCCACATCTACACCTTCTCCACCGACTCCCACTGATGACTGCTGTCGTTGTGTCCTTGGGCAAGACACTTAACCCACTTTGCCCAAAGCCCCCACTGAAAGATCAAGGCTATGCTCACAGTCAGAGAGCAGCCGTCCTCCTGTGGACTCACCACCTGCTGAGGGTCAGTGAGGGGCTGGTGCTATGAGACTTGGGTGGCATCTCTGATTGCCACCCCCCTGACCCAGAAATGGATTAAAGGGCAGAAAATGGATGGATGGATGGATCTTGAATGTCAATATTTAAAACTAGCGGGACGCTTGTTATCTATTGTTTTTTTTTTCTAAATATAAGTTATTTTCACATGACACTATCTCATAAGTAAACAAAAGTCATCATCCTCAAGTGTTGTCATTGTTCAACACCCAAATGGTAGTTTGTGGATTTTCAATATGGAGTTTTTGGATTTTTGTTATGTGTTATGTAACTATCTAAGCAAGAACAATTGTTGTCACGTTTTGAAAGAATAATTAATGATGGATCATACATTTTAGAGGATAGTTAAAGGTTGAAGTATTGTATTTTAGTATTTCTTATAATATCCAAAATCCAAAAAGGACTATCATTTCCTGGGCGGAGCTTGTTCTGCTTTTTAAAACAAAACAAACATTTCAATAGTTCATTACTATTTTTGTGAATCTTGCTCATTCAGTGACAAATAAGATTCATTGACTGTGTTCACTTCGACCCTTCAACACGTTTTCATGTTAAAGGTACATTTTCTCACATTTAGAATTAGGAGGACCAATTGTCTTGATGATCCACCCAGAAGTAGAGAATCCTTCTGATTACCTTTAAATAATTGTTTAAGTTAACACATTCTGGATATCACATCTAATGGATAAAGATGATCTGATTTAGTAAAACCCCTCAATCTAGTGGCATAATCTGGGAAAAGAAATTAATGAGTAAATACTAACTTTTCTTAGATATAGTGGTTCTTTTGGCACCCCTTTCGCTGTTTCTTGGTTCAGTCCTCTTTGCAATTTGAAAGTAAGGGGTCATTCAAACAATGTGAATACCCATGGTAGTGAATGAACGGAGCATGTCTGAAATGGTAAGGTAGATGGGAAAGTGGCCTCAAAGTCTATTTTAGTAACTACTACTATTGTGTTATTCTAAAATGTCAAAAATATAAATTGGCTGAGAACAAAAATATGATCAATGGCCTCGTTTATGATGTCATAGTCGAAGGAATTGTCAGAGCCTGCCGAAGTTAAAAAAAACCTGCAAATGGACAAACGGGGGGTGTTCTATCTGTGTTGATGGAGCTAAAACAAAACATACCAGGTCTTTTTACAATGACAGAAAAATTGGTTTAAAGCTCTAAATAATACACATTTGCATAATATTTCTCCTTTAGTGTATTTCAGTGCTCCATGTGGCAGCCCTGTTCCAACCGTTCCTAAAACGACATTCAGATAAAAACAGCACAAGCCGACGCTGTGAGCTGTTTCTGATCTGTGGCCTGTGGACTGAGCACAAACGGCATGAGTCCCTGATGTGTCTAATGTAATGGCTGCTGCTGAAGTATATAAAGGGCGTGTACAACAGCTGCTCTGAAGAGTGTAGTGGCCGAGTGCTTTGCTTTCTCACCTCACAATATAAAGGCCCGAGGATCCAAGATCCTGCCCATTCAAGTCATTGGCCTGTGCTTATTGGTGCATGTTTAAAGACCGACCGTCGCTGCGAGCCACAAAAACAAGGCTGGAACTAGCATTTCTGCTCAGTCTGCTAAGAGTATAATAGTGCTGTACCTACCCCAAGATTTTTCGGACTACAAACCACCCGTCCCAGTTAAATGCACAAAAGAAAAAAAAAACAGATTTTCTTAGAATGATCACAAAAGCGACCAAATTACACACACAATCAGACCTTTGTGAAAATGGTAGCTGCCCTGTTAGCCGAGCATAAGCCATTTCTGTAAATATTGAACTCTGTGATAAAATGTATTTGGCTTTGGATTATTTTGGCTGCAGCGCCATCTGAGCAATTTCATTTAAACGCTATCCAGACAACCCATGTTGTTACCGTGTTAAACGTCAGGAGGATTTGTTTTTTTCTTAAAGATATCTAGAGATATTTTACAAGAAGTCCCACCTGCCAAATCACCCATGTACAGTATATGTATGATTTACCAACATTGCACAAGTTATATTTTTTGTTTGGGGTGACAGTGGCTCAGTTGGTAGAGCATTGGCCCTAGAGCCTGAAGGTTATGGGTTCGAGCCCACCACGAGACCTAATTCACGACTCCCACTGATGACTGCTGTTGTTGTGTCCTTGGGCAAGACACTTAACCCCACTTTGCCTGAAGCCCATCCATCCATCCATTTTCTACCCTTTAATCCATTTCTGGGTCAGGGGGGTGACAGTCAGAGATGCCACCCAAGTCTCATAGCACCAGCCCCTCACTGACCCTCTGCAGGTGGTGAGTCCACAGGAGGACGGCTGCTCTCTGAGTGTGAGCATAGCCTTGATCTTTCAGTGGGGGCTTGCCTGAAGCCCCCACTGAATAATCAAGGCTCCTTTGGACTCACCACCGGCGGAAAACATGACATGGGGAAGAGCAGCGTGAGCGTGACGGGCCAGGGTCAAAACCAGCTCTGGGGAGGTTGACAAAACAAAAGATCTGTGTCCTTTTAGTTGTTCAGGTCTTTAGTTCCTGTTCTGCAGAGGAAGAGAAGCTGCTCAAACAAACAGGTAGCGTGTTTGCAGCATTTATAAAACAGAATTCATTTGGAAGTTTTACAGAAGAGAGTTCAATTCAGAAGAACCATTAAAACGAATATTAACGGACAAAGTGGGCAACCCTGACTTGGCCTTAGGAAGATTTCCCTGAACTTGGTGAAAATATTTGGAATAAAAGGAAAAAGGAAATGTTGAAGTTGTGAGAGAGGTTAAAAAGTTGCGAGGGGCGGGGTCATAACAGAGCCGCAAGCGAGAGCATGGCCCAGAGAAGGTGGATGGTGGAGGTGTGAAGGGGACCAGGGATGTCTAAAGGCCAAGGACAGCTGGAATCGGCGGAGGGGCCCCAAACCACAGGATCAGTGGGACTACAGACGCTGCTGGATCTGCTCGTAGGGGTCTATCAAGAGTTCTGCACGTCGCCTTTTGTGAGGGAGAAGTATGTGTCTGGATTTCTGCAATGGGGTGAGTGTCACTAATGTAGGTCAGACGCAAAACTTACGCTGTTTACGATCAAAATGGCAAGGTTGTTGATTTAATTGGTAAATCTTGGTAAAAGCGACAGTAGCTCAGTTGGTAGAGCATTGGCCTTCAGGCCTGAAGGTCGTGGGTTCAATTCCCACATCTACACCTTCTCCACCGACTCCCACTGATGACTGCTGTCGTTGTGTCCTTGGGCAAGACACTTAACCCACTTTGCCCAAAGCCCCCACTGAAAGATCAAGGCTATGCTCACAGTCAGAGAGCAGCCGTCCTCCTGTGGACTCACCACCTGCTGAGGGTCAGTGAGGGGCTGGTGCTATGAGACTTGGGTGGCATCTCTGATTGCCACCCCCCTGACCCAGAAATGGATTAAAGGGCAGAAAATGGATGGATGGATGGATCTTGAATGTCAATATTTAAAACTAGCGGGACGCTTGTTATCTATTGTTTTTTTTTTCTAAATATAAGTTATTTTCACATGACACTATCTCATAAGTAAACAAAAGTCATCATCCTCAAGTGTTGTCATTGTTCAACACCCAAATGGTAGTTTGTGGATTTTCAAATGGAGTTTTTGGATTTTTGTTATGTGTTATGTAACTATCTAAGCAAGAACAATTGTTGTCACGTTTTGAAAGAATAATTAATGATGGATCATACATTTTAGAGGATAGTTAAAGGTTGAAGTATTGTATTTTAGTATTTCTTATAATATCCAAAATCCAAAAAGGACTATCATTTCCTGGGCGGAGCTTGTTCTGCTTTTTAAAACAAAACAAACATTTCAATAGTTCATTACTATTTTTGTGAATCTTGCTCATTCAGTGACAAATAAGATTCATTGACTGTGTTCACTTCGACCCTTCAACACGTTTTCATGTTAAAGGTACATTTTCTCACATTTAGAATTAGGAGGACCAATTGTCTTGATGATCCACCCAGAAGTAGAGAATCCTTCTGATTACCTTTAAATAATTGTTTAAGTTAACACATTCTGGATATCACATCTAATGGATAAAGATGATCTGATTTAGTAAAACCCCTCAATCTAGTGGCATAATCTGGGAAAAGAAATTAATGAGTAAATACTAACTTTTCTTAGATATAGTGGTTCTTTTGGCACCCCTTTCGCTGTTTCTTGGTTCAGTCCTCTTTGCAATTTGAAAGTAAGGGGTCATTCAAACAATGTGAATACCCATGGTAGTGAATGAACGGAGCATGTCTGAAATGGTAAGGTAGATGGGAAAGTGGCCTCAAAGTCTATTTTAGTAACTACTACTATTGTGTTATTCTAAAATGTCAAAAATATAAATTGGCTGAGAACAAAAATATGATCAATGGCCTCGTTTATGATGTCATAGTCGAAGGAATTGTCAGAGCCTGCCGAAGTTAAAAAAAACCTGCAAATGGACAAACGGGGGGTGTTCTATCTGTGTTGATGGAGCTAAAACAAAACATACCAGGTCTTTTTACAATGACAGAAAAATTGGTTTAAAGCTCTAAATAATACACATTTGCATAATATTTCTCCTTTAGTGTATTTCAGTGCTCCATGTGGCAGCCCTGTTCCAACCGTTCCTAAAACGACATTCAGATAAAAACAGCACAAGCCGACGCTGTGAGCTGTTTCTGATCTG